GCTCCCGTGTGTCCGCCTCAAATTTTCATCGTCATTTATTCGTTATTAGAATCGACTTCCCTTCTTCCACTCACGAAATTGCCACCGTTTCAACATAATTAATACGAAGGTATGTCCCACTGATTAATCAGTCACGCTTTATTTTCCTTTGTCACGAATCGCAAAGGTAAACGAAAGAGGGCCGTGTTAACGAAATTAAAATGAATTCGACCATCGTGTCCCCCTAACTCCTTCCTGTCCTCCAACCCTCCGAACGTTGCCAACACTTGAAAAATACTCGATGACAAAGGTCTAAAAAAGGTATGGAAATTAATATCTAAAAGACGGTGGCTTTTCTCACAAAGCTGGATAGAATGTAATTTTTAAAGCGTATAGTTTTTCTTTTAATGAAAAATAAATTCGTTAAAATGTTTATTCATGTAACAAGTAGATAGCAAGATGTTTTATTGCAATAATTTTTATTTATTTGACCAATTACTATAATATATTCAAGATTAAAATAATTTAAATTACGTATGTAATTAATAATTTCATCATCTTCAACACTTTCAACACTTCGTTCAACAATTTATTTCAACGATCGACATTTCACATTGATTCACTTTTCACAAAGAAGAAAACAGACACGTTATGCTTAACCGTTATAATCAAATTATTTTGCGAAAAAATAAAATATTCATTCAGGATCGAGTACATTTTATTTAATAACGAATAAAAAAAAACGAATATTTACTCCAATTAAATTGAAAAAAATAAAAATTTATCGAAAATAAAAATGTTCACAAATAGGATGTTATTTGGAAAATCGTTAAAATTAACCAATGCATTATACGATAGATAATTATTATGAAAAAAATTAATTTCTATATACGTGTACGTGACAATTTTATTAATTAATTTTACATCATACCCATTCTCCTTTTACCTATAATTTCATAAGTTTCTACACTCTTTAACAGTTGAACGAATTTCGGTGTTAAAAGGGAAAAAGTGCGATCCCGTGTTTATTCCAAATTAAAATCTGGCGCGAACCCTTCCTTATCCACCGAGCGCGCGGCCAATTAAATTTAAAGCGCGCGCTTTCCGCGGCTGACAGTAATTCCGCCTCTTAAACTTTCTCGACGAACCAGGCCTGCCAACCAACGCAACGAGTGCTTGTTAAAGTCTTTCCAGTCGACTCGCGCGCGCGCGCGAATCGCAAATTACGCTTTTATTTCGCGTATGTTTAGTTAATGAGCGAGGGGTGAAACACGGAGAAACTGGGGGAGGGCGGTTTTAACTTTTTTAACGAACAACTGGAGAACGCGGCGGGCGTGCTCGAGGCAAATCGAGCGACGCTCTTTGCACAATACTTCTTCCTCTTTTTTTATCATTATTATTCCTATTATTTTTCGCATTATCGAAACGATGCCATGCCCCTTTGACTTGGAAACTTTATCATCTCGGCCTCTGGTTTTTGAGGTTAGGTTACGCCGTTTTGAATTTTTTTCTTTTCTATAACAAGTCATAGGGTAACGATGGAAATGAAAAGTAAAGCACGCGAGCAAGTTATAGCTTGGATATTACGAGTATTAAATATCGCGTTGCATACATTGATCGCTTATCAAAAAGTAAGGTTATGGCTCGGTGGAAGCCCGTAAGTGCTTCAATTATCGTGTTGGTCTGTTTGCTTATCGTAAAGTGAGGTTATGTTTCTGGAAACGAAGTAATTGGCCCATCATAGATGGAAACTATCAATCTAACCAATTATGAGGATTCAATATCGAGCAAAACTCTATCTATTTTTTAAATTAACTTTTCCCCAACGGTACAAAGGGAACTAAAACGTTAATTAAAATTTTTTAAATTAGAACAAACGCGAAACGGACGAGTTGAAAAATTCGTTAGCTTCGATTTAGGCAAGACACGAGCATTTCCTATTTCGTTCCAGTCCGGAGACATTGGTTGCAAGAACAAAGGTTTGAAAACGCTGCTCTCTCTCTCTCTCTCGACAATCGAACAAGAAGTCAGGTCAGGGAAAGAGGAGGCGCAACAACAATCGTTCGACTTTTCAAAACTCCTTCAGGCTAAAGATCCCCTCCATGATTCGTCCTACTTTTTCCCCAAGATCCCGTAATCGGACATTTTCGAAATGACGACGTGATTCTTTGGACAAATAAGCGGGACGATCTCGAAACTTTTCTCTTCTTCCTCTTTCGCAAACGTCTCGTTTCCAAACAGTTTCCCCTAATGTATCAGACAGTGATCAAGAGGGAGTCTGAATTCGTTTAGTTGCAGGCAAGCCCTTTCTCGATTCTTGCGTCATTGTCTAACGTCGTCCCGCTTTCTATCCTTTTTCTACACGAGGTGACCCACATACATCTACTGTGGCTCCGCCAGTTGCCTCTGGTCCGAATGCAGCCTGCAGCCAACCGATGTGACGCTATGCAGATTAAAATCCGATAAAAAAGGAGGGAAAAAGGAGTGAGAAGGAGATAGGGAGAAGGGCCCGAGGGATTTTGACAAATCGTCGAAAAATGCGGACGCGAGACAGCAGAGCGTTCTGTTCTTTTTTCTTTTTTTTTTTTCGTCATATACAGGGTGTTCGAACGAAATGGGATTGGAAAATTTAAAGGCAAGTGTTTTGTAGAAGTGAAACAGTCTCATCTGATAGAGATAAAGATGGAATAATAGGAAAATAACGTTAATGAGATTGATCGGAGACACGTTTAATAGATATTCCAATCCACATATACGAGAAATGTGTATTAAATTATGAATTATGCATGATTTTTAATTTTTTAGAGGCGCGGGTAGCGGAAAATAAAGGTCAAAAGTTTGGAACACGTTCGATATTAAAATCCAAGCCAATTCGACTTGGTCCTACGATATTTAATCCGTCTTTACTCTCGGATTTCACCAAATTTTGCTCTTTGTTTGTGTAACGTGTCACGCTTTATATTCCCTATTCATCTCGTACGAACATCCTATACGACAGATCCACTCCTCTCCTTTCCCCTTCTGGATTTGGCCCGAGTGCCAAACTCCACCTGCCAACGCTGTTCCTTTCTCTTCGTCCTCCATATAGGTCGCTTCAAATTCGTTTGTCCCCCGAATAATCATAGCCGGGTCGGTGTTTTGTGGTCGAACAATGGGCGGCACAGTGTATTTGGAACCGGTTTTCAACTGGTATTGAAATCATTCTTAAATCGGTCAGTCTTGATGTAGAAAAATTAAAATTTTTCCTTCTCAAAACGATTCATTTGTTTATGCAGAGAGCATCACAAAATTCGATTAATATATACGTATTTTTTCTGACTTGGCAGCGTCGACAAAGAATTTGTACCATTGGAATCTTTAAAAGAAAAATCACGAACTATTATACGCAAAATTTCACTCGTCGAATAAACGAGAGATCGTATCGTTTGAGCAAACCAGTACCGTGCTTTTCGCCTAACCCATTTTTTATCCGGATCCATATTTACTATCCCGGTCTGTCCACCCCCTCCACTCGTTTCCCCTTTCCGCGAAGCGCATCACTTACGACCACAGTCGAAGGATCAAAGTGTCGTTGGCGGGTTTGGAGAGAAAAAAAAAAAGAGGTTGGTATCCGTCTATGAGCCATGAGTTGGGGTGAATAGAATTATCAGGAAACTTCGTTGCGCGATCCTGGACCGGGGTAAAAGCGCCCTTCGAACGAGCACGTCGCTTCAAAGCAGACCCCTTCCCCTCCTTCCTCGATTCGAGATTCAACGACTTTCGTGAGAATCCTTCCCGTCGAAATTTTGAGCTTTGAGAGTTTTTTTTTTTTTTTGAGTGCGTAAACAAATGGCAAGTTTATTCGTATCCCTCTTTATCCTCGAGGGAATTCTTTCTGGGAAATTTTGAAAGTTGGACGCAATCATAAATCGTGAGGATCGAGTTAATTTCGCGTTAAGAATCGACGAAATATTTTGAATTATTAGAGAGAAGTGAATACGTGTAATAGCCTGGGTAGTTATTGGTTACGTGGCGCTAGTATCGCCATATATCATTTACATGGCTCTTTGTCCAATAAATCTACGCAATTATTCGTAGTCTTTAATTTCTCTAAATAGTATTATTTCGAATAATTTCAATAACCTAAAGAAACCAGTTTTAAAATCGGTTTTAAAACGTTTCTCGGCGAGTGCCTGTATAATCTGCGAAACGATAATGGATAAATATCTCCTCCCCCCACCCCATTATCACCAGTCCCAGAAAGTTCGATTCGTATTTCCATTGGAGGCGTATTAACGGGAGAGGCTGATGGAATCCAAGGAGCACTCGAGCATTTCTTTTCCATCGCAAACGAGGGAAGCGCCCCCCTCTTTCGAATTAGCAGAGCCATCGGTGTTTCGTCTCCCTCCCTCCCATCCACTCGTTTTCATAAACGGGACGACGAAAGTCGTTAACTTCTTCCTCGAGAATTATTCCTCGACCTTCCTCCATCGTCATCTTCGAGCTTTTTAATTACCGATCGGCATTCTAATTAATGAATGGATTTCCCCGGGAAATCGTTATCGATCAGCGCGAAACAACGGCTATTAGGAGGCCAGGGGCTATTCGTGGACAACAACGACATCTGGCGAAGGAGGAGTTAGAGACAAGGAAGGAAGGAAGAAGCGAAAGAGTGAGAGAGAAGGAGAAAGGCATCTTCCAACGTTCTTTCGGGATTGTACTTACTTTCTTTGTACTGGAGGACGTTCGAGTGCTTCTCGTGAATGACGACGCAACGGTAGCAGGATTTTCTGGAACAGAGAAACAGAGAGGGTCTCTCTTATTCAACCTTCTCGATTCGATATCGCTCGTTGGAATTAGAACGCTTTCTCTTCCGGTTTCTTTTTTCTTTCTTTCGGAGAGAAGCTCGTTGTTTTCGAATTTCGCTTCTCGTTAAGACGGCGTTGGCGGGAAGGAAGGGCGTCTTAACGAGGAGGGATTTTGGATGGGACAATTGACCGAATTAATACTCGCTTTCTTCGAGACGAGATTTTGGATCCGTGTATCATTTTGAACATCATCTTTAAACAGATGATACGATACATTTTATCATTATCTATCAATCATGCTCCACATATGGGATTAATTTTCGAAATATCTTCGAGAAACAAGCTTTTTCAGATTTTAATTATTTCGTTAATAAAAACAGGAATGCTGAACAGTATTATATTTATAACGTTAAATATTTCTTAAAACGCGTTTTTTCCCCTCCCTCTCCCTCCCCCTCCTCCCCCTCCTTTTTATCTCGAAAATCTCCACGTGAACTTCCTTCACGTGCACGAAGAAACAACTGCAACCCCACCCTCCCCACCCCTCTTAATCCCTACCAGACGAAACTTTCGAACGTATTACACTCGAATCCCCCGGACGTCGCCTCTTTCTAACGAGTTGACATTCCACGAAACTTCCGTTTCTGGATTTAACTTCGAGTCCCCGTGATTTTCGGCGTGACTCGCTCGATGATCGATCGAGCCCCCTCCGAAGTTTCGAATTCGCTTTTAACGCGATTGGTTAGGGTGGTTAGTGGTCCGTTTTCAATATGGAATTTTTAGTACGAAATAATCCTTTGTATTATTATTATTATTGTATATACGAATTATTGCTACGATATTCGGCGAAAAGTAGATGTACTCACTGGTCGACCAGAAGGAATTTGTCGCCCTCGTTGTGCAGGCACCTGCCCTTGCTTGACAATTCATTCCTGGAGATCACGATCGGTTGTCTGACTCCACTTTGAAACCAGGTGCCCTCCCACTTTGGCGGAAACGTGCATTCTGAAACGAGAGGCAAGAAGAAACCAAAGTTACAAAGTTTTCGATATTCACAAAATTATATCGAGAGATATAATTGCATCTTGAAAAATTGCACACAAATGCACGACCGTTCATAGCTAAACGAATTGATCCATATAGATATATAGCAAGAAATACTAATATTTTATTATTTATAAAAGATATTCCTCTTTTGAACGAGAAGAAAGGAAGAAAAACGGAATATTCTCTTGGAATATTTGTGTATAATTCGAGACAAGTGGGGAGGAGCTCGAAGATAAAGGAGCAAGGAACCGTGGACGTGGAATCATCGAAAATAAGGGTTGAGCATAAGCATGGCGTCGAGATAGGAATTTCCCGGACGGGATAATCCTGGGGGGAAGGTGAAGCGAATTTCCGGGAACTAGAGCCATAGCTCGGAAAGGGAGCCGAGTTATCGACGATAATCGAAACCATGCCCGATGTCCCTCGTGCATCGTTCCTTTCCCTCGTCGCTGGATGGACCACCTGACTGCTCTGTGCTGCTGCACACTCGTATCGAGATCCGTAGATCCATTTTTCCTCGCGGATTCGATACGTGTATCCTTTGTACCGATTCGTTTGAGAGGAATTATAATAGTTTATCGGGTCAGGGCTCGATGGATCATTTTCTTCTTCGTGGAAATTGGAACGAATTGGAGAAAGAATTGGATCCTTGTGGATTGTGCGGTGGATATCGGCTTGGAATGTTTGCTGGCTAATCAGAATTTGTGATTCGAATTCGGGGTCTGGAATTTGAATTCGTGTATTGGATCATTTGAATCTGAGTAGAATATTCAAATTTGAATTTGAATATTCGATCATTCAGCTTTGAATCTAAGTAGAGCATTCAAATTCAGATCTGAGTAGAATATCCAATTTTGAATCTGAATATTTAGACTTGAATCTTGAATCTGAGTAGAATATCCAAATTTGAATCTGAATATTT